ATCACTAATTGATGGATGTCTAAAATATAAAAATAAGGAGAAGCCTAAAACAGGCATCTGAACTATGACGTGAAAATTGTACCGATGCCAACGTGTTGTTGGTGTTTTTTCAATGTATGCTTCAGACATGGGTCACGACAAGGCGTTCCCCATAGCGACCCCTAGAGGACGCAGTGTCTCGTTCCCTACTCAGGGAACCATGGTTACATAAGTAACCTGAGACGATTTTTCTGTCTGGAGGTTCTTCTGCTGGTCAGGAGTGACAGCTGCATCTGCCTCATGGGCTGCAGTCAGTTTCTTCACTTTTCGTGTCATGCGGTAGGTCGTCTTTGCTGACTACATCTGCATCTAGATACTTACTTAACCACAATTCGGCAACTGAACCGATGAAGATTAGAGAAGATATAGTTGAACTGAACTAAAATTGTGAAAAAGGTTAATATACAGTAAGAATTCATTCTGAAGACATTACAACACAATTCAAACTATTATTAAAATAAAAAATAAAAAAGGCATAACGTGTAAAATTCTGTCAATTCTGATTACATTTAGTAAATTCTGCTTAATTTTTGGGAAATTAACAGACTTTAACAAAAGAAAAACACTGGTCTGGCTTTTCCCTGCTGAGGGGAAAACATCCTAAATAGCCTAATTTGGTTTGCTGGTGTAAAATCTATTAAGATGCCTAACCAGCCTAGCCAAGCTGGGCGATCAGCTGGTCTTCCACTTTAAAACCACCCAGCAGACACGCCTGCCCAGGCTGGGAGACCAGCTAAGACCAACAAACCAGCTTTGGCCAGTTTAAGAGGTCTTCTGAATCTCAAAGCTATAAAAACTATTGTTTTACTATTGCTTCGGAGACTTTTGTTTTCTTGTATAACATAAAGCTGTTTTCACATTGATGTCAAGCCTATCATTCATTTGTTATGAATAATCTTGTCTTTTGGTTTGTCTCCATCAGGTTTCAAATAAATAGAGGAAATAAATTAGATGATGTACCTTTCATCAGTAAAGTATTTCATTCACTGGAAGAAAAGCCACATACACTTTAATTTTTGCTCACATCTAATGAGTTGAACATGTTTCTTAGTTTTTATCATGAGCCTTCATAAAGACACACCTGTACATAAACTATGAATTCAAGTGAAATATATTAATGTACAAACAACTTTGTGTTCAAACTGTTTTTAAGATGGTAGCAACCAGCTTCAGGTCTTTCTCTCTCTTTTCATGTTATGGGCAAATTGTATCAGCTGAACTATTGTACTTTACAGTACATTTCAGTTTACCAAATAAAAGTTCAACAACTAAAAAACAAATAACAAACTTGTTGATAATTTTTTTTCTTCTTTTTTTGGAAATGACAGCATACGAAACAGACATTTAACTAAAGAGTTTGTCAGTAAAACTGAATACCAATTAATTGAAAAGCTGAATAAATCATTGTATCTATAAAACTGGGTTGCTTAATCACTGTCCCATGGATTTTAGATCAAACCCTAATCAACAATTATTTAAATGAAACAATTTGTTTACACAATGTTAAAAACTCTAATTACTGTCAGACTCTTAATGTGATCTTTAGTAAAGCTTATTTGTCAATAAGAAAATCACACTAAATGTTCCAAGAATAAAAATAATCACGCTTTTTGCATGATATTCAACGTTTAAGCGCATTTCTCCTTTGGTTGTGTTTGAATTTGAGTTGCTTGTAAAAGTGAAGAGCTCCTGATGGGAACACCAAAACCTGCATTAGCAAAAATAAAGAAATCAATTAATTAATTACAACTGCAAAGGTTGGCCAGTTAGACACTGGGCCACAACAGAGATGGGCTGAGAGCCTGTGTAATATTTTTGTATGTAAATATAATTTTTGCTGTGTACAGGATAATGTCCAGTCAGGCATTATCGCAAAAGCAACACTAGACATGATGATTTTGACCCGTTATTCACCGGTGAATCAACGTCAGGTACCATGGTTGAATCAATGTTGAATTATGTTTTGATTTTGCAAATTGAATCAACGTTGACATTGTGACGTTTCAGTTGAAATCGCAACATTGTTTCACTGTCTTACCTTCGGTATGGGTGAATTAAGGTCGTTCTGTAGATGCTGAATTAACATTGAATTAGGTGTTGATTTTGCAAATACTGTAGAATCAACGTTGATAATGCTGTGTTGTTTCACCGTCTTACCTTTCAGCATGGGTGAAAAAACAACTGTATTTAGATCAACACTGTACATACATAAAAGTTAAAAACAATAAAATGACTGGCAGCAAAGGCTTTACAATCACCTTCAATAAACTACCACATGCTCAATATTGTAAAACAAGTTTTTTTTTTTAAACCTATACTGTATAAAACAGATAAAAATAATCTCAAACTTTAGCTTGCAGTGTTTGTGCTTGGATGTATTGTTAAAAACCTGTAGAAGAACAATCCAAATACAATATTTAAAGACTCAAAAAAGTTTTTGGTACAATAACATGCATATTTTGCACTGCACTTGCAAGAGAAACCCTTGTACTTTTTTGACTGAAATCAGTTGATCTTTCATTTTGGTGAAAAACTATAGTTTCTGTAAAAAAAAAAAAAAAAAAGGTTTACAAATGTGTCTCATTACAGGAGATTTGTACATTTGTGCAGTGGAAATGTGTAGAACAGTTCGA